CCATTTATTTTTAGGAATTGGAACCAAAAAGGGAGCTAAAATTTTTCTGGGGGGAAAAATAATCTTTTTATGAAAGTTTGTGAGGTTGTTCTAACGATATGACTAATGAGTAGACATGCTATATTCCTTAGATACCTTCATCAGGGCTTCAGTTAAGGAGCTGCAGTTTCTGCAGATTTTCTTCTGGCAGAATGTGAATGTCAACCCTCTGCCAGGTGCATGGACTCACGTGTCCACCAGACCTGTGTGTTCATCCTAAAGAATAACCTTGAATCAATCCCTTAACTTCACAGCACTGCTTCTCTAAGTTAAGGCTAGTCATGTTCATCCCAGGGGTGACTATAGATCAATGAATGATGTCACGTCTGTGAAAGTGCCTGCCATAGGAATCAGTAGAAAGCCCTCATGAACAGCAGCTTTATTTATTTTATGTCATGGTAGGGGAGGGGCACATGAAAAAGCATGTTATTAAGAAATAAAGAGACAAAAACCCATAAATTTGTGGTCTATAATTTTCCCTGTACTTAAGAAAACTGTTCACCAAGCTATTTTTTGCTGTTAAAATAGGAGTCACCAGTTTTTTTGCATTACTTCTCCCACCAAAACTCCAAATTTTAGTAACCAGATACTTTTAAGTTAGGCTACACAGCATATTCTTGCTGTGTCTCACTGTTACATATATATTTGCAATATAAAAATAATTCCACAGGAGCCAGGCCTGGTGGCGCACACCTTTAATCCCAGCACTAGGGAGGCAGAGGCAGGCAGATCTCTGTGAGTTCGAGGCCAGCCTAGTCTACATAGCAAGTTCCAGGCCAGCTAGGACTACAGGGAGACCCTGTCTCAAAAAGACCAAAAAAACCAATTTTTTTTTAAATACTACAAATCAAAGTCAGCAGGGAAATACAGTTGATCAGATGTAAATGTCTTCTATGGCTGCCAAGGAAGAAATCACCATTTATGAAGGTGAGAAGTATAGTGCTCCCAGTGGGAAAACCAGAGAAGCATAAATTGTAGAACAGGGCATGCTGTCACACATCTGTAGTCCCAACACTTGGGAGGTAGAGGCAGATGGATCTCTGAGTTCAAGGCCAACATGGTCTACATAGTGAGCTCCAGGCCAGCTGGGGCTACAGGAAGACCCTGTTTCAAAAATACAAAAACAAAAAACAAGAAACAAAAGCAAAGCATAAATTCTAAATAATATTTATACCAGAGATGTTTATACACACCTATATGCTCACCCAAGGGCAAGAGGATTGCTCAAGTTCAAGCTCAGCCTGTCTCAAAATACAAAATCATAAAGGCGTTTTACAGAAAAAAACATTAACGATTTTCTTCTACTTAAAATATGGAGCTTCATTTTCAGTATTATTTCCACTTTGTGTCTCTCCGAGTAATAATATGGCTAGTCTTTTGAAAAAAGGTGCCAACTCACTAAGGAAATACAGAGGCTGACAATATGGTGGCTCAACAACAAATTTGCAACAAGCAGCGCCAGAAAGGCAGCTAGAGCAGGAACACCTTACCATGAAGCTCTTGGCATGGAGCTTCTGGGCTCAATGCCCAGGAGGCTGGAAGGCACTTTCCTTCCTAAAGGCTGTTCTGGCTGAGAGGAACAGGCTACAGTGGCTGTCAGGTTCAGGTTACACACAGCCAGCCAAAGCCCTCCTTGCAGAGAGCAGGGGTGAGTTCCTAGAACTGATTTCTGTTGCTGAGTTCAGCATTAAATAATCTCAGAGAAAGCTCAAATCAGCAAGGCTGGGGGGAAGAAAAGGAAACTTTGCCTTGGAGTTTCTCCACAGCTGAAGAAGCTGCTCAGTTTCACCAAAACTTCATGTGCACACTACTTTTCCCTTTGCCTCCTTCTTCAGCCTAAAAGATATAGTTGGCCTTCTGGGAAGTCTCACAGGTTCAATGCTAGAAAAAGTTATAGCAAAGCTCTATTATTCTTTATCTTAAATAAATACTATTTAAACCAAGCATATGTTGTCATTTATAAAAATTAATGTATGCAGATGTGGGTTGAAGGGTTTGGCACTTCTGCTGTCCATCATGTAGGGCTGGGACTAGGAAAGTCTGCAGTGCACCATGGGGGCTGTCATTCTGTAGGCTATGCTCAAAAGGGGAGCTCGGCACCCTCCTGAGCCTGAGACCCAGCACCCTCCCACTCTGTCAGCTTTTACCCTCACTATGGCTGATCCCAAAGCTGTAGGGAGAAACGGAGAACAGCTGCAGAGACTCCTGCCAGCCCTGGTCAGGGAGGCAGAGGCTGCAGTCACGAACAGAAAGTGGAACCACAGAGGAGGAATTGGCCTTGCTGGATGGATCCAATGTGGCCTTTAAACTCCTGGGTCTGGGGCTGTCAAACTGGAGTTGGGGGAGGCTGGGGACACAGAGGGGAGAGGTTGGACTCCATCAGCTGAAATGAGGCTACATGAAGTCGGGACCCTGAGCAGCAGAGGGAGGCCTGAGTAGCTCCAGCAGGCCTAGGCCACAAAGGCAAGGGCTATTGGGAAAGCCTGGCCAAGTGGTGGGTCTGGGAAGGAGTGAGGCATCTCTAGTGCCTATACCATAGTAGCTTATAACATGTAACACCTCCCCCCTCAAAAATTATTTGTATTCTTAAAACTTTATTGTCTCTGGTTTTTCAAAACCTAAGTGTGGGACTGGAGAGATGGCTCAGTGGTTAAGAGCACTGGCTGTTCTTGCAGAAGACCTGGGTTTGATTCCCAGGACCAACATTGTGGCTAATAACCCTCTGTAACTCCAGTTCCAGGGGATCTGACAACCCCTTCTGGCCTTTTTGGGCACTGCATGCACAGGTGCACCTACATACATGCAGGTAAAACGGTGCCATCTGGGAAGTGGGTATATAGATGATTAAGATTGTATGGGATGTTCTGTATGATATACACACAGAAAAATCAACAGATTTTAAGAAAGGCTTACATTTGAGGAGGAAGCATAAAAATTTACTTCACATTAAATAGTAGAAGTGATAAACATTACCAGTGAAATCTACCTGATGACTATATCCATACTCAGGTACTAAGGATCCGAGTGTAACCGACAGTGACTAGTAATCATCAGATACATAGAGATTAAAGACACATGTGCAAACATCTAAGTG